GGAAATGCCTTACATGATCCTGAGCTGAAATGTATTTAGCCTTCTTGGATTTCTTTTCATTCATCTTCAGACTGCAGCGTGGCATCTGGCTTCTTCAAAGATGGCATTGAAATCTTCGTTTTCCTGACTGGCACCTTTATTGAGTCTACGTACATCACTAGCTTAGTCTCTCAATAGCTGTCACTCAAACCATGTTGTCCATGGCTGCAGGGATTGCTGCACTTTCTTTGTATTCTGGAAAGCTTTTATTATTTTAAGGTGATTCTGCACAACATTGTGGGAAATGCCATTTTTTGCAGTGACTGCAGAAATTGTTTTTGTAGTTTCCATGAAAATCGCAAAACCATGCTTGCTTTAAGTAGGTCCCTAGCCATACCCCCCTCGGTGTTGATAGTCCAACCATGGAAGTTGTCAGCTGAACTCTGTAACGCTTATTAAATCATAGTTTTCTACACATACCTCTGGGACTGATTGTGTACCTGCAAACCCATATGCTCAAGTAGACTTACTGGGAGAACTATCAGCCAAAGAGCTCAAATACCCCGAGTCAGAAATAGGGTAACTTTTAAAACAAAATATATATATTTAGTTTGTCTTGTTTCTGATCCCCACCTGACCGTCCCTGTGCCACCCATGTGACAACTGGAGGTTGACAGGTCAACCTTAAATTCACATAGAATATGCACCCACAAGGCAGGAATCTGTCCCACTGTACTCACTTTCCCTATTTCCCATCCACACGCTGCCCGGATTACTCCTTGTTCTTCTGTATTTGCTCAATGATTATTCCCTCTTTCCCAGCTTACCTTGTGTCTATACCCCCAGACTAATGTAATTCCACCAGTTGTCAAAATCCTCAGACAGGTTTCAGCAGCTGCCCATACCTCCAGCAGAGGGGTTCTCTTGGCTTCTGTACTCATTTAACAGAACAGAGGTGAGGCTGCCACTTCATTGGGTAGTTGGGGGGACTCCACTCTGCTGCCCTTTTTGGAGTGTACAGAAGTGCGTTGATTACTACAGGAGGCTGCCACCCAGGCTGTCACTCTTACACCCAAATGGGCAAACTGCAGATTGCAGGTAGCTGCTCACAGTCATTAGAACCACAAAAACTAGTCCAAAACCAGAGCGCCTTCCATTTTGGGCAACATTGTTAGGTCCTAGGGACAGCTTGTGTAATGTCACACATGTGCTTAGGTGTTTGCAAGGCTGTGGCCTGCAGGCTTATTATGCAAGGATAAGTTAATATACTGCTTCACTTACTGCACAGCATACAGCTCTACATTCTATAATCAAGTAATATTGATTGATAATTAGGAAATAAACCTTTTTTTTTCCTGCAGGTGTTATTCCCCGGTTGATTAAAGTTGCTCCTGCTTGCGCCATCATGATCAGCACATATGAATATGGGAAGGCCTTCTTTCGTAAATTAAATAAGAAACAAATGGAAAACAATTAATACAGTCTCTCAAGATTGCAACCACAACCTAGCTGTACAATGTGAGCTGTGCCAAGTTTGACTTATGTCTAAGATTCAAATATTCCAAAGTAACTGAATTAAAATTCGGCCAGGATGTTCAGCAACCAGGCAAAACTCCATTTGCTTAGATTTTCATCAGAGCTAAATTTGGTCCTGTTTCAGAATTTAAGAATGCGTGAGAACAATGTCTTCTGTGTCATCATTTAAACTATCCTGTGAATTCTCCAAGAGAGAACAAAGTCTAAGGAAGCAAGCTGATTGTTTTACAAGCCATCTTTAGAGCCACCTAAGGGGGAAAAATTAAGATTGGTCAGAGTACTGAAATAATATATGCAGACGCTCTTAAAGGGGGAAAAAAATCTGTCAGTGGATGCAAGACTGGTACAGAATATGATCATTTCTGGCTTGCATTTTTGTATTTCACCAAGCAACCGCTGTTAGATGTAGTTATGCTCTGAATCTATTAGGATTGGCAGTATGTAAACACAGAAAAGGACAAGTCCTTTCCTGTTTAATCATGTACTTAGAAATGTTTAAATGGTCTCTTCAAACAGGGCTTTTCTTCCAAAAATAATGTGAAGTATTTCCTCAGTGTTTGAGTGGAACTGTGTGGAAGAAGTTACCACTAGGTAGCCTTAAAACAGAGCCCTAGGAATGTTTCAGACAGACACAGCATGCATACAGTTTGAAAATTGTTAAGTAATAATATACTTGAGATTACAAATGCAACTGTTAGCAATCCAGTGGTCCTGAAGATTAGAAATAATTTTACATGGCAGAATCTTGAGTTAACATTTAAATATTCATTTGTTTGTCATGTAACTTTGGTTCCATGACAGGGACTTACTTTAAAAATGAACAAATTATTAGCTTGTTTTTGATTTCCACTTTTAGAAATATTTCCAATAAAAACCTAATCCTAAACCAGGCAACTGCAGTTCAGGGGAAGCTTTAAAGAAATGCAGGTAATAAAAGTGTGGGGCATGTGATGGTTAAAGTCACTTAGTTGAGTTATACACACACTAGTATCTGAACTGTAGTGGTAATTCTGCTGATGAGTTTTTTTAATATATCAGATATTTTAGTTACATGATCATAGTACATTAAAAGATGTTATAAGCTTAATTCCACTTCCAGAACACATGACAGCCACAGTCTAGTTCTGTATTCTGGCCTCCTCATTGTTGATCAAAACTGGGGTAAAAGATAAGAAACTTGAAAGCAGCAGTGAGACCATGAGCTAAGAATCCTCAGCTAATCTATGGCTCTGTAGATTTTTTTCCTTCCTTTTAATGCTAGATTGCCATTTGTCCCCATATGTATGTTGCAAGCTTTTTGTTAATATGCTTGCATGCACAGTATTACATCATAGGTTTCCTAATGACAAAGTAGTGCCTGTACTGTTCCCAGATTCCACTTATCTGAGGTAGACCCCCATGTCTGAGGGGGCGAAGCAAAAAGTGCTTTCCCTTGGGGAAAAGCAATCTTGCATCATTAAGTTACTAGCCATCAAAAGGGGTAGGATGCTGCAAGTCATTTAACTACTGTACTATGTCGTATACGGCATGTGTACTGGGACAGAGATTTGACCTCTGATTAGAGATTTGTAAAGAATTGTTTCTCAGGATAAGTTACACTTTACTATGAAAAGAAGTAGCACTTTATTGTGATTGATATATTTTTCATAAAAATGTGAAACATTCTAATCTTCAACATGGAAATAAAAGACTGTAATGGATATTAATCGGAATGGAAATGAATGCATTTACTAGTTATGTACTGGGGATGAAAATGTTAAATGTTTAATAAAATATTTTCTGATTTTTTCAATCCTATGTACATATGGATAATTCACTCTTAGCATGGAATCCTGAACCAATCTAAAATATGAATGCCTAATACTTTAATACTTCTGAGGCTTATAATGCGCTTAATGATTTTTTTTAAGCTACTGTGTTTTATAGACACTTAACAAATGTCTAACCCTAGACTTCATGCAAATGCATGTTCTAAAACTGAAATTCATTTTTTACACAACTTTGTAAAAGAGGGGAGAGTGGCTTTAGTTGGATAACAGAAAACAGTAACATTCCAAGGAACTCAGTGAAGACTGTAGAATGCATATGTTGACAGTAAATGACAGCTGCTGGGTCAGTTTGGGGTTTTTTTTATTTTATAGATTAATAGATTGTAAGGGAATGGAAGGGACCTCGCAAGAGCATCAGGTCCAGCCCCCCTGCAGTAGGCAGGAACCGCAACTGGGGTCAAGTGACCCCAATGAGGTAACCGTCCAGTTTCCTCTTGAAGACCTCCAGGGTAGGTGATTGTACCACCTCTGGAGGGAGTTTATTCCACAGTGTGGACACCCCAACTGTGAAGAAGTTTTTCCTAGTGTTAAGCCTGAAATGGTCTTCCAGGACTTTGTGGCCATTACTCCTAGTTTTCCCCTAGGGTGCCCTGGTGAACAGTTGTTTGCCAAGCCCTTGATGTATTCCCCTGAAGTAGCGGGGTAAGCTGCTACCAAGTCCCCTCTCAGCCTTCTCTTTTTTAGGCTGAAGAGGCCCAAGTCCCTCCGCCCTTCCTCGTATGGTTTGTCTTGCAAGTTTTTGATCATACGGGTGGGCCCTTCTCTGGACTCTCTCAAGCTTTCCCACATCCCTGTTGAAGTGCGGCACCCAGAATCGGATGCAGTACTCCAGCTGTGCTCTCACCAATGCTGACTAAAGTAGAAGAATCACTTCCTTGGTTTTGTCTGAGATGCATTGGTTGATGCTTGACAGAGCATTGTTTGCCCTGGCTACAGCATCGCACTAATGGCTCACGTTCATACTATGGGTCTATTCTTATCCCTAGGTCCCTTTCAGTCGTGGTGCCAGTCAGTTTGGCACCACTGAGCCTGTAAGTATGTTGGGGATTGTTTGCCCCCAGATGGAGCACTTTATACTTCTCAGTGTTGAACTTCATCTGGTTCCAATCCGCCCAACTTGCCAGCCTGTCCATGTCCACCTGCATCTGCAGCCTACTTTCAAATGTGACCATGCTCCCCCATAACTTGGTGTCGTCCACAAACTTGGCCGGTAAGAAAAATGAAATTAGAATCAAGACCTAGGGAGAACTTCCACTGATTTCAATGTAAAATGATATATATCCACCATCTTAATTTAACTGAAGCATTAGTTCGGAGGCCTAGAGTAGGGATAGGCAACACCCAGCACACATGCCAAAGCATGGCATACGAGGCCATTTTACTCAGCACACCTCCGCCCACCTGAGCTCTGGGCAGCTGCTGCCAGCCATGGAGCCCAGGCTGCTCCTAGCAGGTGGCTGGGAGGCTGCAAGCTTTGCTGCAATCAGCCCAAGCTCCACTGCTAGCAGCTGCTACCTAGAGCCTGGGCTGGCTGCAGGGGCAGCACCAGCCTCCTCCTAGTGGAGGCGGGGGCTGTTGGGGGAGGGGGAAGTAGGGTGAGCTCAGCTATGCAGGGTGGGAGGCAGTGGTCCTGGTGGTGCTGAAGGAGTGGCTACAGGCGGGGAGGGGCTAAGGTGAATTTTGGGGTGGCTATAGCCCCCCCCAAGTCTCCCTGACTGCTGGCCCTATGCACCAGACTCAGAGACCCAGCTGGGCTTTGTGCCAGTGGCAGCTACAGCACCCCTCTGGGTGTAGGGAGAGGCCTGAGACAGTGCACGCATGTATGCCTCTGGGTTGTGGTGCCCAAGCCCCACCCTGACCCTGCACCTCAGGGCAGATGATGGGGGAGGGGTCTGGGGTTGCGTTGCCTCGGGCCCCTCCCCTGCTTTCTGCCCAGAGGGGTGCACGCAGCCCTAGGTGACATGTAGGGGGGAACATGTGGGGCACTGGTACCCCCTCTAACAGCAAGTGCTCCTGTTGGTAGGGGGGCATGGAGAGTGCTAGTTCCCCCCCACCGCTAAAATTGTGTAACCGGTTGCTGGGGGACCAAACTCAGGAGGCACCAGTCGCCCATGCGTAGCCACTGCAGTTTCTCTACATTGCAGTAATTCAGAGCTTCCTTCATTCTGAACCTAGGTATTCTCTCCTGGTCTTACTTTCAAACTTACACAACTGCTGTGTTCCACTGATACTAATCCTTGCCCTCCTGCTGACTTTCTACAGTTAAGTGAATTTATGCCATTTGTGCTACTTCAGTATCTAGAGCTACCGCAGTACATCAGTCGAATGGTCCTTGTTAAGTGTCTTGTCTTCAGCAGCATGCTTCAGAGACAGGTACAAGAAATGCCTTAGTATAAAATAGCAGAGCATTCTTTTTATTGGTTGACCTTATGCCCCAAAGCAAATTTTAAACAAATGCTCCCACCCAACTTAGTTAAAGTATGGAAATCAGTTAATCACAAATGTCCAATAAGCTTTCAAACACTGTTAAGCTCTTAGCTTCAATACCACCTTGTGACATTGCCCCAGTCTTTGGAGCTCATTAAACCATCATTTCCTTTCCTGGTTTTAATATAAACATTCAGTGGTTGCATTGGTTTAGTCAGAAACATTCATTTTCACTGTATGAAATTCTTTATTAAATGGATTTTCTGTATCAAAGAATCCAGAATGATGCATTAAAATTAAAAAGCCAAGCTCCCTCATTTATCAATTAAGAGTCTAAAATAGATGCTGAAAGTTCACAATATGGACCACATATTAAGAACTCACAATTTCCTATTACTGACTGTACAATGTCCTTGTAGCAATTACAGCAATTATGTAAACGTTAAAGCACTAATATACTTTATTTATTATTAATAAACTGCTTTTCAAGGATGGAAGAAAGGAAGAGAACCATGCCTGACCAACCTGATTACCTTCTATGATGAGATGACTGGTGGACACAGAGAGACCAGCTCGTGTGGTATACCTTGACTTTAGCAAGGCTTTTGATATGGTCTCAAACAGCATCCTTACAGGCAAGCTAAAGTAGTACGGGTTGGATGAATGGACTGTAAGATGGATAGAAAACTGGTAGGTTCATTGAGTTCAGTACGTAGTAATGAATGTGTGGCAGCCAGTATCAAGTAGAGTACTCCAGGGGTTGGTCCTGGGGCCAATTTTGTTCGATATATTCATCAACCATCTGGAGGATGAGATGGCGCACACCCTCAGCAAGTCTGCAGACGATACCAAGCTGGGGGGAATAGATACACTGGAGGGTAGAGCTAGGGTTCAGCGAGACCTTGATAAATTGGAGGACTGGACTAAAAGAAATCTCATGAGGTTCAATAAAGACAAGTGCAAAGTCCTGCACTTAGGACAGAAACAATGCTATGCATCAGTACAAACAGGACTGACTGGCTGGCTGAGAAGTAGCTTTGCAGAAAAGGACCTGGGGTTTAGAGCGGACAAGAAGGTGGATACAGCCAAGTAGCTGAACTAGCCAATAGTGTGCCCTTGTTGCAAAGAAGGCTAACAGTATACTGAGCTGTATTAGTAAGTGATTGAGGGAAGTGATTATTCCCCTCTATTGGCACTGGTGAGGCCACATCTGGAGTACTGTGTCCAGTTTTGGGCCCCCCTCTACAGAAGACATAGTGAAATTGGAGAGAGTCCAGTGGAGGACAACCAAAGGGGTGGACAGCCCCAGCAGGCAGTGGCAGGGGTACTCCTGCCGAGCGCAGGTGCTGGTACCTGATGGCGCACAGCTACGGCCAGCCCTGCACATTGCGGTGAGGAGTGCGGCCCATGCCAGGCTGCCTGTCGCCAGCACTCCCCGCCACACATGTGCCGCCCCCGCACTTGAGTGCCATGGGAGGGAAACTCTGGGTGCTAGAGCTGGCTACCTGCACTGCTTCCTGCTGTGCAGATCCTGGGACTCTGCTGGAAGTGGAGGGGAGCCCTGGCCCCTGCAGACTCCCAGGACCTGTGCAGCAGAAAGCAGCAGAAATTAGGCAGCTCCAGCGCCTGGAGCTTCCTTCCTGTGGCACACGAGTGTAGGGGCTACGCATGTATGATCGGCAGCACTGGTGATAGATGGCCCAGCAGGTGCTGTACTTCCATACCATGATGTGCAGTGCAGACTGGAGCCACATGCTGCTGGGCACCAGCTCCCCTGCCTGCTGGTGCACCATGGGGGGAGTGCAGGGATCCCCACACCCCCACCCTCCCTCACCCCAAATACCACACCCACATCCTACCCCCAACAACACCCCAACATCCCCTACTGACCCCCCACACAACCACAGCCCCTCAAACCCCTACACCTCCCCACACTCCCATCCCATCCCACCCCACCCCACACACACACACACCTCACCATACACCCCTGCACACAATATACAAGAGTAACTATTGAGTTATTATGCATTCACATTACATAATGTGAATGCATAATAACTATATACGTTACATCAATACAAATCATAAAAACAATTTTTGCAATAAATTTAAAATATGTTATAGTAGATGTTTTACTTTTATTGTATGATTTGTTTTTTTTATGGTTCTGTGATGACAACCCCTCTCCCAAAAAGAGTATTTCCAGGGAACAAGAAGAGGGACTTCCAATGGCAAAGTTCAGGGTTAGGGGCAGGACTTCCAGTCCCAAATTAGTGACTAGAAGGAGGGGCAACTGTCAAGAGGTGGGGCTGCCCATGCAGCCCTCCACCCAAAATAACTGTCCACCCTTGAGCTAGACTGTTCTCAGTGGTGGCAGATGGCAGAACAAGGAGAAATGGTCTCAAAATGCAGCAAGGGAAGTTTAGGTTAGATATCAGGAAAATCTCTGACCAGGAACATAGTAAAGCACTGGAACAGGCCACTCACATGCGGAATCTCCATCCTTGGAGGTTTTTAAGACCTGGCTAGACAAAGCCTTTACTGAGATGATACGGCTGGGGATGGTCCTGCTTTGAGCAGAGGGCTAGACGAAATGACCTCCTGAGGTTCCTTCCAGCCCTAATTTTCTAGAAAAAAACATTATAACAAAACAAGATATAGATATTGGATCAAAAGTTAGCAATGAAAATTGAAAGGTCATCTCAAATAGACGGCCCTCACAGATCTACGTGCATGACAAAATTTTAAGTGATGGTATCTCACCACACTAAAACATTTTTATAGTACAGGAATGGCTAAGTGTTGGAGAGAGTGTGGCCAGATGGGAGGTTCTAGTACATATGGTGGACATGTGCTAGAATCAAACTGTTCTGGAAAAAGATTGGAGACATGATAAAGAAAACAGGATACTAGCTATCGGATAAGCCTTTAGTATTCCCTGTAAGCAAGAACCTACCAAAATCACAGAGGAAGTAGAGTGTGCAGCAGCATGTTCCCCTGCATGCACCTTGCCCCTTCCTACCTGCCACTCCCCTGGCTGCTGATTGGCAAAGGACCCTGCCACTCCCTCATCAGCAGGGAAGCTGAAACCAGAGTTGTAAATATGGCACTGTTTTTGCCTCCCCACTAGTCAGCAGGAAACAGCAGGGCCATCTGGGCACCTCAGCCAATCGGTGGCCGGAGGCAAAACCGGCGCCATATTTAATTTTGCCTCCCTGCTGATCAGGAGCAAGCCAGAAGCAGAGCCCCTCCACCAATCCGAGGGTGGGAGGGGTGCCATGGGGGAACCTGCAATATTAAAGGAGCCACAGCGCACCTCACTTCCGCCATGAATGCAGTAGGTCCCTACCCACGAGAATTCTATTACATATAAGACATATACAAAGGAAATAATAGCTCATCAATTACAACTGCAAAAACCTAGACAAAGTATGATACCCCTAAAATTGCTGATTGGCGTCACAAAGTTTGGGACGTTTTAGTCATTGAAAAGCTGTCATCAAGTCAGTGTTCTACAGGATAGAAAAATAAAATAAGATGCTTACTTAAAATGTGGTGTAAGTCCTTGCAATCTGTTGGAAAAATAATCTTACACCTCCAAAAAAGTCTGAAATTTTTTTTTTTTTGAATACTGAAGAAGTGCAGTTTCTATGAACTAACAGTCAAAAAATTTGGAATGAATTTGATACCCAAAAGCAGAGATGGGTAGAAGATAGTGGGACTTATTTTATGCAGAATTCTGAGGAAAAGGAGGGATGTGAATTATTAATTAGGTGACATGTAAACATGAAAACACAGAAACTTGACACCAACTATAAAATGTAAAATGTCGTTAGCAGAGTGAAGGAATAGAAAAGAACACGAGACTCCCCCTGTGGACATTGAGTTGGATCAAAGGAGCATTGCTGATGGAAGATAAATGTCTGTTTTTATATACACTTTTGGGGACTGAATGTTTCTTTAAAGGTTATATTTTTTTTTTTAATAAATTGGATTCATTATAATAAATAGTTAAAAAACAGAATAGTACAAAGATAGGAACTGGTAAGTGATGATAGTACAAAAAAGTTTAATTTACATGCAACAGTTATGATGCACAAGGCAACAAAATACAAATTTAGGCATTTATTTTTGTTCAGATATTTTTGAACTATGGATAGCATTTAGAAGAGAGACATACAGCCAGTTTCCCATGCACAAACATTGACATTTACTAACTACTACTGGTGTGAAACATACTACAGAAAAGACGTACTTATATGACACTGCATGAATTTTACCCTAGTCGCTCCAAAAAGAGAGCCATCAGCCGACATGACTAAAAATCATGATTATAGCCAAAGAACAGGGAGAACTGTTTAGATAACAGCACGCAGACTGCTGAAGTTACCATACATAAACATGGAAAGTTAACTTAATGAAATCCTGATTCCTTTGTTGTTTATATTAAAAATGCATCTTTAGTTTACAAATTAATATTTAATTAATATTGTTTCAAATAAACTACTGGACTGCCATGACAGAGCAGGGGCTTAGTGCAAGGACCAGGCAATTACTTTATGTGATAACAGGCATTCTGGTAGACCTTAAGAAAAGAGCTCTACTGTTCAAATTGTATTTCAGAAATCATTATAGTTATTTCTGGAGACGTATACTATCACACGCACCATCTACATCTTGCATTGTTCTGTTTGCAGGAATGATTGATTAAATTCCTATTCTTTACCCTGCCAAACTACAGCAGTAGTGCTAAGGGCAACATTACAAGAGGCACATTTCTCTGTATGGCTAGTCAAATGAAGCAGGCGGCATAGCAAGTAGTGTCTATTGTAAACAACATCCTGAAAGTAAGCTGTAATTAAGGATCCCTAGAAGTTTTGCAGCCACTCATGTAAACAGTTTATGAAACGTCTTTGGCACAACAAAGCATTTCCCTCATGATTAATAAATGCAACACTTGCATGCACTTACATTTTGTTTAAAAAGTTATCAATGGGACTAATAAGCACTACCCTGACTAGCAAAATTCTTAGATAAAGGATTCAGTAAATTTTACAAAGAATTAAGAATATAGTTTGCAATACAAAAATTATTTTGCAAACTTTAAAAAGGGTGGGACCATCTGGAAAGTTTAGTTTTGTTTTAAAATCCTTTCAAATAATTTGTATCAATAGTTTAATCAGTGACAGAATTTTAAAGGATTCACTTTTAAGTGTTACTGAACTGTATAATCAAGCAAATACCTATCAAACTACTTCATGAATGAGAAAAAAAGTAAATGTGAGAATTTGGCATTCATTTAGTCAATTATCCAATCTAAATTTAAGTTTTTAAAAAAATGCCCTGAATTCTTTACAAGTAAACATGAAAAGAGACCCCCCCCTTCCCTCCCCCCAGCTATAATAAGTCCTAACACTACCCCATTTCTTAGTCCCATTCTTTGACTTTCCTCTACCCTTTGCATTAAGGGAAGATAATGCCAAAAATCAAGCTTACCCACTTTTCACATTGCAAAGTTTTCCCTAAATTGGATTATGCAAATCATTTATCGATTTGCCTTCAAATCCTTTCGTAAGCTTGGAAGTAGCTCTGTTACTCTGTCCCACGATCAAGAAGTAGGGATATATTCTTCATGATGAGAAACTAAATAAACATTGGTCATCTCCAAGTGGCATAATGATAACTGGGATACAAATTTAACACTTAGTCAATGTTTCAAAAGAAGCTGAATAAATCATCTCAGTAGAATAAAATAAACTATTTGAGAATCTACATAAATAATAGAACAAATATACACAAAAAAATTACATTTTTAAACATAAAATATTTAGAAATTAAATATTTATTTACCCGTCAAGACTGGAATTCATGCCTCTTCTGCAAATGTTGGCAATATGTATAACTGTAGAGAAGTGCTCTGGTTAAGAGCAGAGGGAGGTTATCAACTCTGGCAGGGTAACACAGATCATGGCAGTTAAATAGAAGGCTAATTTAATCTGTTTTTTTGTTTTTTGTTTTTTTTTACGATGTATTAATTCATACCTTTATCGCACAAAATTCTGTACCTGACTGGGAATCTCAACTAATAAAAGGTTTCAAAAAGGAAATCTGTACATTCCTGTTAAAGAAGAACGACAAAGGATGTGATAGATAACACATATATTATTTGTGGTTTTTTTAAACACATAATTACAGAAAAGGACAAAATAAAGCAGCAGATTCTTTAGCTTGCTTGAATTTTTAAAATGTCTTCATAGCAAGTCTAATTATGGAATGTAAATTGAATGCATACAACATAAAACCCCTTCATTATGTATATCTGCTCAGGATGGAGTTAGACCTGGACTTGTCATCTCTGTTGTGGGACTCGCAAGATATTCACTTGATTTCAGACTTGTGAGAGATTTGTAACTTGCTACTGACGTCAGAGAGCCACAGAGACCAAGCAGTGATGGGGTGTCCTCTTTTCCTGTTAAAAAATAAATTAAGCTAATCAGTATTATAGTGCGAGTCTTAACACTAGATTTACCTGAACTCAGATAACATTGAAGAAGCAGAAATCTAGAAATTCATTTATCACAATGCCACAAATACAACTGTGTGCAAAAATGTATCAAGTCATTTGACAAAGTTCTTTGGGTAAATCTGATATCTTTTATTAGACCAACTCAAATAGTTGGAAAAAACCTTTACAAGCTTTTGGGTACCAATACCCTTTGTCAGGCTAAGGAAGCATCTGCAGTTGGTCCGTGTTCTTTTGTACCTAAAAGCTTACAAAGAATTTTTCCAAATGTCTGAGTTGGTTTCATAAAAGATAATAGATTTACCCAAAGAACCTTGTCTACCTATGTCCTTAGACCAACACGGCTACAACCTATACCCCTCGAGTAATTTAAGGCATGCAACTATGCCCTATATCAAAAGTGATTTACACAGCTGTGTAATACTACTCCCATAATAACTCCAGTTCACAGCCTTCCTCCACCCCTCCAAGCAGACTATTTGTAGTTTCATGGAGACTTTTTTTCTGATATTTAGCTAAGCCTGCATCTGCTCCTCCTTCAGAGCTGAGGAAGGGCACTTGATGCTTGTCTACCAGCTCTCGCAACTATATAGTTGATCCAATAAAAATATAATACAAAAAAGCCTTGACCCAGACATTTCCTGACTACCATGGCTACAACATTCGAAACCTACTTCGGTATTAATCACGTATTAATAGCACGTTGCCAGAATAACATTATAACTAGAAGTAAGTTGCTTTGAATCTCCTCAGAGGAAAAAACATTGAAATCAGTCATTACTATTTTGAACATGTTTCTTTTTCATCCTTCTTAATACTTTCCCATTGAAAAGATACTAGATTTATAGTCCAGGAAGATGGAATCATAAGGTACACTGGTTTGCACAAACTCTCACATACTGTCCTACCATGCCTAAAACCTGATCTGAAATCTAGATGAGGCTAAATGAAGAATATACCCATGTTCCCTATCCTGCTCAGATTGCCAACAGTGGAACTAATTAGTGCCAACTGTAATGATTTACTTTTGATGCAGACACCTGTCCATAAAGATCATCTTGCCTTCCTCCTATGCCAACAGACACCAAAAAAGCGATGAGTACAGTTTGGGTGACTGTCAGCTCGAACTGAATTTGAAAGCTGACAGAAGGCCCAGGAACTTACAAACCAGGCCACCAAAAGGGAGCTACTAATTTTTAGTGCCTGAAGTCTGGGTATTCATGTCACCTGGCAGGGGTAGCAGGAATATCAAGATGGAAATGGTTGCTCCTGGGTATTCAGGGTGGCATAGTACTCTCTAAAGCAGCAGCTGGATTTGACAACTGAAAAGTTAGATTTCAACTTCTACAATGACCTTCAACACTTTATACTAGAGGTGCACTGATAGAGATGTTGGGGGCCAATACCAATAGCCGATATTTAAGGAGGCTTATCAGCTGATACTGATCAGATATTCATACAGCTGCCATCAGGTGGTAAGTCCCTTGTGGTAAGCCCCTCCCCACTTCCCTTCTGACTGCCCAGCTGGAGGCAGCTCGCCACACTGCCGGCTCTGCCCCATGCTGCGCTGCAGCTGCGCACAGCACAGGCATTTATTGGCCCCATCGGGCCAATATCTGATATAGACAATTTTCTTCATATCAGTACTGATCAGATATCAGATATTTATTGGTGCACCTCTACTTTATACACAAATTTACAAAAGTACATCTTCAAGTCTTCAAGCATTATACAAGTAGTACTGGTTGCTGGGTCACAGGGAAGGTAATACTGAATTGAAATAGTTCATTTTACAAGTACGGATTACTGCAAAATCTGAACAGTATTTAGAGATTAACTTCAAGTATCTGTAAGAGCTCTTAATAGCTTGACAGATCTATTCCTGAATAGATAAGTAAACTGTTGTCAAATGTAGTAAAAAACCCAAACACTGTTATAAGCATAGAAGAACATGTAACATGTCAGCCCAAAAGGATTATCTTTGCTGAATTATTCTTGGTTGATAATAAAAGATGTGCACAGAACTCTTCTCAACATTAGCCACTGCCAGATCAGCACTGGTAGCTCAACTGCTCTAAACCAGCTAGGCTCTGTTTACATAACCCTTTTTAATTAATTTTTTTTAACGGGGGGGGGGGGGGGGGGGGGGGGGGGGAGGTGTGATTTTTTGTTGAGGGGGGGGGGGGGGAGGGGGAGGATGATAGAGCTTGATCATGGCTTTTAGCAATGTCCGTCAAACAGAAGGAATTTTACAGATGAATAAAGTTCTCTGTTTCACAAGTTACCCATGGCCAGGTTGTGAGGGAATAAGGAAATCTTTATAGTAAGTTTAGATATTTAAGTATTTCTTAGAATTCTCCTGATTCTTCACATTTACCACAAGGTGGAGCACTTGAATTTTCTGAGAAGCAGAAAGCCTTTCAAAGGAAAGAAGGTTTATGCTAACTGCTGGCTTTCAGTCCCCTCACAGCACCTGATGAAGTAAACCTACTGCTTACAAAAGCTTATGCTATCTATGTAGATCTCTAGTTAGTCTATACGAAACACCATGACCACGACAAACTTCAAGAAAGGAGACAAGTCTGACTGTAGAAATGACAGAGGGATCACTTTGCTGTCCACCACAGGAGAGAACGTGTGTTGCAACAACTCTCCCCTTCCACTTGCTGAAGAGCTGCTCCTGGGATCTCAGCGTGGTTTAGGGCATCAAGAGACAACTGACATGATCTTCACTGCTCACCAGCTGCAGGAAAAATGCTGGGAATAACAAACCTCTCCACATGGCCTTCTTTTACCTCATGAGAGCCTTCGACTCTCAACCCTAGAAGTGCTGTGGAGGATCCTTCTGAAGTATGGATGCCCACCAAAATTTGTCACCATTCTTTGCTGGCTCCATGACAGTATGTGAGTGGTGTTCTCAGTAGTGGATCTATTTAGGCTAAAGACAAGAGTTAAGCAAGGCTGTGTCATCACTCCAACATGCCTCTTGATATTCCTTACTGCAACTCTAAATCTGACCACCAGCCAGCTTCCAGCTGGAGGGGAGCTAAACTACCGAAAGGATGGTAAACTATTTAATCTCAGATGACTGTGAGCCAAAACCAAGACCACCTTGACCTCCACCATCAAGTTCTAGTACACTGATAATCATCGACATCTTTACCAAGGCATACAAGAAAATGAGACTGGCACTTAGCAGTCACAAGAATTAAGGTCCTCCATCAACAAGCTCTTAATGAGCAGTCCCGAGCTCCAGTAATTCAGGTTCATGGTGAGACTCTAGAGAATGTTGAGTATTTCCCGTATCACAGAAGCCGTCTCTCACAGAAGGCTAACATCTATGAAGAAATCCAACATCGCCTCAAACGTGCAAGTGCAGCTTTTGGACACCTGAGAGACCGGGTGTTTGAAGATTGCAACATCAGATTCAAAACCAAGATCATGGTTTATTAAGCAGTCGTAATCCCCACTTTACTGTATGGAGCTGAGATGTGGACAACGTACAGGAGACACCTAAAGTTGCTGGCAAAGTGCCATCAATGCTGTCTGCAAATGATCCTTCAAATCCAATGGGAGGACAGACACATGCACCAACATTAGCATCCTCTCACAAGCAAACACCATGAGCATTGAGGCAATGATCATCCAACATGAACTGTGCTGGGCTGACCATGCCATCCAGATGTCCAGCTCCAGACTCCCAAAGCAAGTGTTATTCTCCCAGCTCAGTCAAGGTGTATGCTCGAAAGGAGGGCAGAGAAAGCACTTCAAAGATATCCTCAAGACCAACATGAAAAATTGCAACAGTGACCAACTCATGGGAGACTTTTGCCCAGGGCTGCCCTGAATGGAGGAAGAGTCTGCTGCAAGAATCTCAGTACTTTGAAATGTCATGATGACAACAGGAGACAGAAAAGCAGAAGTGGCAGAAACTGCGTGTCACGGACTGAGTCAAGAAACCAGAGCACCCACAATAAAACTTGTTGATCCAGCATTGGCCTTGTCAGACCAAGGTCAGAGAGGACCAAGGATCCAGGCTTCCATTTCCCAAAAACGATTTTCCCTTTTAGCGAGAAACTCACAGATTTCCCCCTTTTGCAACAAGCTCTGCAGGCCAGCAGAGATCCTGCCTGCAAGAGCTGATTGCAAAAGGGGCGAGAAACCCCCAGCCCTGCCCAGAGGAAGAGGGAGAGGGGGAATGACGGCACCCAAGGCTCTCGGTCAGCCACGGCTCAGCTCAGGCTCGCTCTTTGCCCCTGGAGCCTGTGAGGCAAGTAGAGCTTGCAGGGGGCAGGGGCTCCCTTCAGCAGGGCTGAGGGGCTGCGAGTCATGGCTGGGGGGCACCGGCAGGGCTGGAGGGGGACCAGAAGTCAGCCCCACCCAAGCCTGCAACAGTGCGGGGGCTGGCTTTGTTCTGCTTCTGCTGCAGCAGCCGGAGGCAGTGTGCTGTGGAGGGGAGCAAGGGGTGGCTGTGGTGGGGGGAGTGAGGGGCACCAGCAGGGCTGTGGGGGCTGTGGGAGGCCTTTAATTTAAGTCACGGATTTGGGGGGGTTTTATCAGAGAATTTGAAATTTTTTTTATCAGGGAAATCCAGGATCCTTGGCAATGACTCTAAAACTCATGCAAAGCTGGGACCTACTCTCAAAAGTTAAAATACAAAATACTGATGCCAACTGCACAGTGCAAGAGGATGCGAGTTCATGGCTAGGCCACCTAAGAAGAAATAATGAGGCATCCCTTCCAGCTTATCTTACTATATTCATGACGATTTCAAGCAGGCTCCTAGTTGTCTAGTATGTAACCGTGTGAAATGTCTATCCATGATTAATTAGTATGGTATATATTTCTTTTGCAATTAACTCATGTTATGAACAGAAAGAGTCATTCTCCATATGGGATAGATGTCTCCTGGTTTACTTCTGTTTTGGCTACAGGTTCCCTTGATTTTCCAAGGACACTCTCCAAAACCTTGTGTTTTTTCTGGCTGTTAATCAGTTTCTTGATATGTTCCAAACTTAGTAGAAATGAATAACCTCTCGTCACCAAGACCATTTCTCTTGCAGCCTGCTTGGTGAAAAAATCATCACCTTATAGCTAATTACTGGACTTTGCTTTGGTTTGGGCTCATTTGACTTTGAATACTTGTAGTAAATAAAGCCTTTTTGTCACTCATCAAATGATGCATCATGTCAATCCCTAGGCTAGTCCAGAATCGTAGGTTTTTATTAGCTAACAATCAGCATTGGCCTTCAGGCCACAGATAAGGCAATCATGGAAGACAATCATCCTCAACTGCGAAGGATTGTCAATGATGATGAGTCTATAATGTGCAAATCTATCCTGCCTTCTGCCTGACTTCAGATTAACCCTGCTAGCCACCTCTCTCTGTCGGTACCGGTCTACCTTAATTTTAATGAAAAACACATGGAGACACATGTAGTCACAGGCAAAAACAGCTGCTGAATGACAAATGAAAAAGGGGAGTACAACACTGAAAGGGAGGCGGAAAGGTCCAATGCCTGGATATTTTCATTTAAAAAGTATAAACTGAGGCTATTTACTCCATAATCCCAACAAGAGACTCACATAATTTAAAGGTTAACTGTAACAGAAAGATGGCAGGTGATACCACATATTCTTTAGTATTATGGTGAGGGAGTAAGTTTGTAACATTCATGCCCCTTCTCCACATTACAGGCATCATGCAATTAACTTAATTATGCAGTTAACTTAAGACCAGCTATATGTCCAAAGTACCTATCACGTGATAAAAAGCTCCAACCAGCTATAAAGCTAGACCTAAAAAATGTGTACTAGCTTTATAGCAGGTTGCTATTAAGCTTTAATTTGCATGTGTAACAGGGCCCTGTGGCTGGGAGCCATATCAGCTGGCAGGACTTCCAGCTGCAGGGGTGCATCATGCCCAGCATGAAAACCCTGAGCCTTGGGGATCATGACTGGCATGATCCCCAAGGTTTAGGGGTGCGAGAAAACCCTGGTCCATATGGGGCTCTTGGCCCTGGCTGCGCCTCACATGAGATGCAGCTGGGACCAAGAGTCCCATCACTTGTGGGAACACATGCTCCTGGCTGCATGTGGCCCCCTACGCTGGCAATAAAGATGTGATTGAATCTACAATCTACATTGTACCTGCTGCAATGCACGTGTGGCACAGCAGGAGGTGCAATTGTTTGAATCCTGCATTAGATCCAACTGCATCTATACCTACATGCGTAGAGGGGGCCCTACATTCAGACCAGAGCAAATCTAGATCTGAACACAAAGCATGATGTCACATACTTATTAGGGATGCGCGAAACAGCACTATTTCGTTTCAACTTCTGTTTCAACGTTTCGAAGGGACAATGTTATGTTTCAAGTTTCATTTAGTTTTGAAACTACTGTTCCGTTTCTTTACTTGAAACTGTTTCGACAGTTCGCCCATAGGCTATAATGGGGAAGCACAAAACTGCCTATGACTTTGTCATTTCTATCCTGATTCACATGAAACTTGCAGAGATGGTAGCCCCTTCTGAGGTCATGAAACCTGCCAAGTTTCAAGGAAACAGGTGGAGGGGTTTCTGGGAAACTGCATGTCAGCCTTGAAAGCAAAACTTGTGTCATGTGTGTCTGTTAAGGCAAAGGGGGGTGAAAACTGTAGGGATGGTAGCCTCTGCTGAGGCCTCAAAGCCTGCCAGCTTTCAAGGAGATAGGTGCAGGGGGTTTCTGGAAAACTACACCTCAGGCTGCTGACAAGCAAAACTCATGACATGGGTGACAGAAAGCAGGCCAGTTCAAACAATGCTGCCTTTTATGCTGTTTTTCCATCCCTCCCCCAGAGCACCAGGATTGGAAGGGACCTCAGGGAAGGATGACAGCCACTGGCCAGCTACACAGTCAATATGAGAGCAGTCCTTCCCCG